AGGGGATCTGCGGGCCCGCACCCGTCTGCCTCTTATGTGAACTGGGGGAACCGGGCGTGAGTGGTGCAGGCAAGCCCAGCTCAGGTGCAGTGCTGGAGTGCAGGGCGTTGTCGTTCTTGCTCGGGGAAGGGTCACAAAGCTAAGTCGCTGTAAGCCAAGCTGCCAAGGTGCCCTTCGGTAGCTTCACAGTATTTTCCTGTGGGACTCCAAATCATAACTATTGAATTTCTTTTCTTTTTTTCTATATATTTTTATTGATTTCAGAGAGGAAGGGAGAGGGAGAGAGAGATGGAAACATCAATGATGAGAGAGAAGCATAGACTGGCTGCCTCCTGCACGCCCGCTACTGGGGATGGAGCCCGCAACCTAAACATGTGCCCCTTGATGGGAATTGAACCCAGGACCTTTCAGTCCACAGACCAACACTCTATCCACTGAGCCAAACCAGCTAGGGCCCATTAAATGTCTTTTAGTTCCCCAGGCCGCCAAGTCTCCTCATCTTTCAGGTCTCAGCTTAGACCGGTAAGGCTTCCCAGACCACCCATCGTTCTCCCTCTGGCCTCCCGCCTCTCTCCTCCCCAACCCCCCAAGTTAGGTATTTCATAGCACAGATACACCTTCTTTAGCAGTGTTTACCACACTTCATGAAAATTACACTGCTGAGTATTTGTCCTTGTTAGGCTGCGGATTTGTTAAAGACAAGAACTGCGTGAGACTTGTCCACCTTTGGATTTCTGACTCAAGGTGCCAAGCACATACTTGGCTGTGGGGCAGGGCTACAGTGTTTGAGCCAGGTTCAAGCCTCGGACTAATGAAAGGACAGGGTCCTCTCATTGCCACGTGCAAGTCCAAGCTGGAAGGGCAGGGCCCTCCCTGCACAATCATAGCCAATGGCTGTAATTGTAAGTTTGAATCTACAGTCCGAACACGTAGCCCCACGTGCCTTGTGATAGAGTTCGGGTGCATGTAGTTAAGTGAGGATGAAACTCATGAGAATGCTGTAAACAACTTGATCACGCCCATACTTTGCCTTGTGGCATCTGCTATAAAATAAAGACACGGCTTGTGGACGCTGGCGCTGGCGCTGTCTCCTCATCAGGGAGCTGCGTCCCACCGAGACCCAGCTTTCATTCTCTTGTCTGTCTTTCCTTAATCCTTTCACACACACACACCCACACCCACTCGGGATCGCCCCTGGTCGTGCTGGCGTGACACACTTGGCATTTTATAAATATTTGGGTGCTTGGTAATTGCTTATTTTTCTTCATCTGCCTCCCCTTTCTT